GCTTTTGCAGAAACGCACCACAGTCCATTTAACATGGTTTCCTATGGGACACATTCACATCCCAGAGGTGTTCTATTGGATTTAGGTCAGACAAGCGTGGGGGCCATTCAATGGTATCAATTCCTTCATTCACACCAGTGGCCTGCTGGAGGACATTTTGTAGGGCTCTGGCAGTCCTCATCCTGTTCCTCCTTGCACAAAGGAGCAGATACCAGTCCTGCTGATGGGTTAAGGACCTTCTAAGGCTCTGTCCAGCTCTCCTAGTGTAACTTCCTGTTTCCTGGAATCTCCTCCATGCTCTTGAGACTGTGCTGGGAGACACAGCAAACCTTCTGGCAATGGCACATATTGATGTACTATCCTGGAGGAGTTGGACTGCCTGTGCAACCTCTGTAACCTCTGCCTGTGCAACCTCTGTAGTGTCCAGGTATCGCCTCATGCTACCAGTAGTGGCACTGACCCTAGCCAAATGCAAAACTAGTGAAAAACAGTCAGAAAAGATGAGTAGGGAAAAAAATGTCAGTGGCCTCCACCTGTAAAACCATTCCTGTTTTGGGGGTCGTCTCATTGTTGCCCATCTAGTGCTCCTGTTGTTAATTTCACTAACACTGAAGCAGCAGAAACTAATTAACAATCCCCTCTGCTGCTTAACTGACCAAATCAATATCTCGGAGTTTAATTGACTTGATGCTATACTCTGATTAAAAACTGTTCCTTTATTTTTTTTTGAGCAGTTTATATTGTATTCAAAATGATACATCTGTTATACTTACCTGCTTTGTGCAGTGGTTTTGCTCAGAGCGGCACCAAAGCTCTTTTGGGGTCCCCCGCTGGCACGCTCAACTCCTCCTTTCTTCTGAGTGACTCCATAGCAAGCTGCTTGCTGTGGAGGCACCTGTGCAGACTTGCTCCCAAACCAGGCTATGCATGTCCATTGACACAAACCGTACGGATCAGCCCTGACTCACAGGATTTGACTGACAATGGCTCCCACTGCTGTCTCTGAGCCTGAGAGGAGAGAGAGCGAGCAGCACTGCTGCTCTTGGGCACAGTGTTGGATCAAGATCTGGCGCATTCTCTGCCTTTTGCCTTTACAACCACTTTTTAAAAGCTAAGTTCACTTTTTTTTTTCTAAACTCCAGCTTCCCTGTGTTCGTGACTATACCATTAATGTTGCAGAAAAGGAAAAGCTTTCTATATGTTCTAGGACAGGCATTACTTCAGCCTCCAGTCTCCTATAAAACACTCCTCCATTATGCATCCTGGAAATTGGTATTTGGGATGGAAAAGCCAATAAAAGGACGTAGTTTAGCAGTTGGCCCCAGAAGATTGCTCCCACCCACCTCTGTACTCACACTGGCCACTTTATTATGTACACCTGTTCAGTTGCTTGGTAACACAAATTGCTAATTAGCCAATCACATGGTAGCAACTCCATGCTTTTAGGCATCTAGACGTGGTGAAGACGATTTGCTGAAATTCAAACTGATCTTCAGAATGGGGAAGAAAGGGGATTTAAGTAACTTTGACTGTAGCATGGTGGTTTGAGCCAGACGGACTGTTCTGAGTATTTCAAAAACTGCAGATCTACTGGAATTTTCATGCACAACCATCTCTAGGGTTTACAGAGAATGGTCTAAAAAAGAGAAAATATCCAGTGAGCGGCAGTTGTGTGGATGAAAATGACTTGTTGATGTCGGAGGTCAGAGGAGAATGGGCAGACTGGTTCAGGTGCAACATTCAGATGGTAGGGTCAAAATTTGACGTAAACAATATGAAAGCATGGATCCATCCTGCCTTGTATCAACAGTTCCGGCTGGTGGTGGGGGTTGGCGAGCAGGCGAGTGGAAATTTCAAGCCCTGCACTATATAATCTGATTGTATAATCTTCTTTAGATCTATTATCAACTATGTAGTGCAAGAGCTTGCCTGATTGGATACAGAGCGATTGGACAAATAGGTGTGTCCTTCTATCATATAGTTTTGGTAAATCTAAAGGAGATTGTATGGCCACCTTTAATATACCTAATACGTAATTTTCGGTTTACGAATGAAAATCCATTGAAAATAATGCCTTGGTTTACAATTTTTTAAATATTTTTTTTTCGCAATATGAAGTGTATGTCAATGCCAATTTTGAAATGCAGTTGCCGGATTTTTTTTTTTTTTCTTCACTATAGCTCATAGAATTAGATGTAATTTTCCCAGAGTTAACAGAAACTTAGTTTCTTTTCAGAAACTAAAAAGGAAATATTGTTTCTCTTAACTGGGGAAATTAAACTAAAAGAAAACGTTCTTTCTTTTAGCTGGGGGCAAAGTGACAGCTGAATTTCCGAGTTATAGTGAAGATAAAAAAAGCGGTAATTACATTTAAAAACCGGCACCATAATAAATAAAAAAAGGCGTGGGGGTCCCCCCTCCCATCCATACCAAGCCCTTTGGGTCTGGTATGGATTTTGAGGGGAAATTCCACGGCCACCGGCAAGTCAGGAAAGGGGGGGGGGAATGAGTGAGCACCCCCCCGAACCATACCAGGCCACATGCCCTCAATATGGGGGGGTGCTTTGGGGTGGGGGCCTCTTCCCCACAACCCTGGCCGGTGGTTGTGGGGGTCTGCGGGCGTGGGGCTCATCGGAATCTGGAAGCCCCCTTTACAAGGGGTTCCCCAGATCCTGCCCCCCCTCATTATGTGAATGAGTATGGAGTACATGGTATCCCTACTCATTCACAAAAAACAAAAAGTGAAGTGTGGAAAAAGACAGGACACAGTCTTTGACAAGTCCTTTATTAAAACTAAAAGAATGTCCCCCGCAGTAGATCCAATGTCAATCACTATGCGCACAGTCAATGTCGCTGCTGCTGCTGCCGACCCGAAAAAAGAATTAAAAAAAAGGCTCCACTCCTGACGATGGCTTCCAGCCATCTGCATGCTCCAGTGGTTTGACAGTTCTTAAAATGTAAGGGGCAGGGCCACCCAGGGATATCACGCATGTGACCCCACCCCATGACTTTACTAACACTTTAACCACCTCCCGCCAGCAGTATAGGGAAATGATGGATGGGCGGGAGCTCTTGTTCTGAAATGACATCATGTGAGATCCTCCAACTCTAGCTGCGTATGCACGCCCCTAGGAGCACACTGCGCTGCAATTGGTGGTGCACTGTGTCCTTAGGACACAGCAGATCATCGTTCGCGGATAAGAGCTGATGATGTAGGCTCTACCATGTGATCAACTGTGTCACAGCTGATCACATGTAACAGGATATGCCTGCTATTGGCAGTCCTCTCCTCACGCTGATGGCACATGAGGAGAGCTGGTAAGTGGCATTCCTCAGAGGGGACATCTACACTGATAATCAGGGCACTGATCTTCAGTGCCCTGATTATCAGGGCAGCCCCATCAGTGCTGCCTTTTCAGTGTCCATTAGTGATGCCTGTCAATGGCTATCAATGCCTCCTCACCAATGCCCATACATGCCACCTATCAGGGCTGCCTTTCAGTGCTGTCCATCAGTGCCCATCAATGCTGTCTATCAGTGCCGCCCTCATCAGCACACATCAGTGAAGGAGAAAAATTACTTATTTACAAAATTTTATAACAAACTAAGAAAAACTTTTTTTTTTTTTCTTTAAATTGTCTTTTTTTAGTTTTTTTAGCAAAAAAAATAAAAAAAAAAACCCAGTGGTGATTAAATAATACCAAAAGAAAGCTGTATCTGTCTCCAAAAAATATAAATATTTGGTTCGGGTACAATGTTACCTGACCGCGCAATTGTCATTCATAGTGTGACCGTACTGAAAGCTGAAAATTGTCCTGGGCACGAAGAGGGTGGAAGTGCCCGGTAGGCAAGTAGTTTAAAGCGGAGTTCAACTCACTCTGTCAAAAAATAAAAGTCAGCATCTACTAAAACTGTAGCTGCTGACTTTTAAAAAACAGCCATTTACCTGTCCTTTGGTCCCATGGTGTGTCCCCTGCAGCCAGTTTCATCTGCCGTCCTGGAGGCCGGCATCTTCAGTGAGGGCACCCGGCTGTGATAGCTTGCGGCTTCACAGCCGGGTACCCACTACGCATGCACGTGTAGCACAGCGCTTCCTGAATGGTCCTGTAGTCTTCTGGGACCTGTCACGTGTCCCAGTAGACTACGGGGAGGGAAGGAGGGAGGACACCTTCCGTTTCCGATCGCCTAGGCGGTCCGACCGCAATTGGGAGCCGGTACCTGTCAAATTCAGGTACCCGCTCCCCGCCCCCCAAAAGTGCCGATTTTTAATGGGGAGCGGGGGAGCAGTCCTTAAAGCGGAACTTCCCCTTTTTGGGTGGAGCGCCACTTTAAGTTTTTTTTTTTTTTTTTTTTACCATAATGCAGAGAATGCATTTAAGGTAGTGAAGTCTGTTTACTTGTACTATACTAAGGCTGACCTGTAGGTACTGTAAATATCTCCTAATCGTGCACCGTTTAGAAGAGGTTTACTTATTTGGCATCAGCGGCACATACCCGTGCCATTCCATTAGAATTGTGTGCCATAAACAACATGCACGGGAGTGACGTCATTGGGGCTCAGCCATTCAAGCTGCTGGAGCCCATGAACCCGGAAGAAGGACCCGGTGAAGATGGAAACTCTCTCAGCTTCGACAGCATGCTGCTTGAGGGCTTCTTTTTAGGGTAAGGTTCACATAGTGTTCTGTTATGCAATACTAGCACATATGATACGCAGGGGAAAAGTTTTTTTTTTTTTTTTTTGTATTTGTATTTTTAATTACCAAGTTTACTAATGCTTAAAGGTAAAAAAAAAACCCGAAAAACGTTTACCTTTACAACCGCTTTAAGCTAAAAATGTTGAGGGTTTAATATACTTTAACAGTTGTCCCCATGTCTTGACTTTTCCCTTTTTAACCGCTTCCCGTCCACCCTATAGCAGAAGTACTGCTTTAGGATAGCACGGGTGTACAAAATCACGTGTATATACACGTAATTTTGCATCTCCGGGTAGGGGGCGCGCAGTCCTTACCCATGCCACAATTCACAGCCTTGGCTGTCAATCACAGGCTGGTGATTACTCGCTGGCGCCTGGTGATTGCCGAGCATCTCCAATGGGGGGAAGAACTGTTTGTAAACAAAACAGTTCTCTCCCCTGTCAGCTCCTTCACACTGCTTTGCATGGCTGTGCATAGCAGAGCCATGCAAGGCAGTGTGCTTACAGTGAAGCACAAACACAGCCCAGTATGTAAAATGGCACACCGCTAACCCTTTGATCGCCCCTCACGTTAACCCCTTTCTGCCCAGTGCCATTAGTACAGTGTCAGTGCTTTTTATTAGCATTGATCACTGTATTGGTGTCACTGGGGATGTCAGTGACACCAAGTAAGTTCCCTACAGTGTTAGAATGCCCGCCGCAGTCCCGCTATAAGCCACCATTACTAAAGAGAAAAAAAAAAAAATCCCAGTATATTTATATAGCGTCATTTGTAAACGCTATAACTTTCACATAAACCAATTAATTTACACATATTGGGATTTGTTTTAGCAAAGACATGGATCAGAATGCATTTTGGCCTAAATTTATGACTAAATTAGATTTTTTTTTTTTACCTTTTTACTGGACATGTTTAATAGCAAACAGTCAAAAATACAGTTTTTTTTTTTTTTTTTTTCTTAAAATTGTTGGTCCTTTTTTTTTTTTTTTTTTTTTTTTTTTATAGTGCAAGAAATAAAAAACACACAGGCGATCTAATACTACCAAAAGTATATGAACCATTGAGTATATGAACCATTGTTGAGGATGTATATTTCTTTTGAGTGTAATTGTCATTGTTCTCTGCAGTACCGCTGAACTATACTGCTTCACTCCTTATCCCGCCACCTGTTTTTCCTCCCTGTCCTCCTGTCGCCTGTAATTTTGTCATTGCTCTTTTTGTTAAACTTTCTTGTTTTGTTTCAGAATTTAAAATAGTTCACCACCCTTGAATATTTAATAGAGAAAAATATTTTTCCATTCCCTTTTTTTGATTACAGATGACAGCATGATTATATAGTAGTCGCAGTATGCAAACTATAAATTACTCTACTTTTATGTATTGATTTGTCTTTTTTTTTTTTTTTTTTTTTCCTGAAATTTAAGCTTGTTTTATTTCTCACTTTAGTTTGAAGCTAGATTAACATTTGTGCATTGCGATAGCACACAGCAGATAAAGAATGGCAGTTAAGTACCATGTGTTTTGGTGCAGCGGGATTTTTTTTTTTTTTAAAAAAAGGGTATTGTGCTTCTTTTGTGCAAATTTTTTGTACATAGAGTAAAAATCCTTTAGCCTTTTGAACCACTTTAAATGAACCTGGTTTGTAATCCTCTGTCATCCACACCAAATTATTTATAAGGATGGGCGTTCCATCTGTCACGGAGTCCGTTTGATGAATCGGTATGCTGCTGTTTCCAATACCAAGCATTAGAATATGCTAGCAAGGGTGGCATTTTGCTCATCACTTTTTTTTTTTTTTCTCCTAAAGGGCATTTTAGAGCAGATTGTATGAGTATGCATATATACTATATCCCATTTGGTTGTAGTTTGCATAAGACAGACAGATAACAGTATGGAAGGCCTCTCTACTGAACAGCCATCCCACCCACACGCTAAGAAAAGCCTCAGATTCCAGTAATAAGCACTTAATTATTTTTAGTGCCTGAAATAATCAATCTATTTTCTTGGCAAGGAGAGACGGTGACAGACGAGTTTGGTGTAAAGAGAATTTGTAATGTGCCATGTACGTAAAGATTTGTTTATAGGTAATGACAGGGAATAAAGGAATACTCTGGAGTCTGGGTTCCCTTAGGATCCTATCTTAAGTAGCATTACCTTGGTCAGATGCCGACTACAGCCCAGATCCTTCTGAAAATAAATATGGCTATACTGCTAAACCTCTGTCTCAGATTTATGATGATCAGGCTTGTATACAAAATAAATATGGATGCCGGGTTTATTACCGAAGAAGCTAAAGGTGTGTACATTATGTGAGCCACATGTAAGAATGAATTGTTACTAGGCAGCCATTGTGACCACACTGCTGCATAAAGGTGTTCCTTTTTTTTCCATTTTTTTTCCTTTTTTATATTTCCTTTTTTTTTTTCTTTTTATTCTTTTTTCCTCCTCCCCTTTTTTTTTTTTTTTTTTTATTTTTTTTCCTTATTTCCTTTTTTGTTTTGTTTTTTTTTTTGTTTTTTTTTTTTTACTTTTCTAGCAGAGCTTCCTTAAGACCCCAGTCACACTGGATGCGAATTGGCATGCAACTTGCCAATTGCAGCCTATTGTCCGCAATTAGAGTGGTCATATCGGTGGAGTTTCGATTTGATCGGAGCTGCACCGATTTCTAAAGTATTACATGCACTATTTTTCATGCAATTTGCATAGACATCTGTATCAGATGTCTTGTAAATCACACCTGAAATCGGCATGTCATCCGAATTGGAAATCATGCAGCTTACAGTGAAGTAGGGTTTGATGTGACTGGGGTATAAGCTGGCCATACTTGGATCAAAATTCTTCAGGTTCAGCAGGGACTGTCCAAATTTCGATACATCTGTGGTTGTTCGCTTTCAAGGGGAGTTGATCTAAAGATACAACTCCTCCCAGACTGGGATGTCCATATATTTTTGTGTGATCAGTGCTTGCTGTCATTGGTCTGCAGCGCTGATCAGTGTATTCTGACTGTGGGGCAGTCCCTGCTGTCAGACAGAGGTGGATTCCCTGCTGCACTATTGCATTCTATCTGGAAATCTGTTCTTTTTATTTTTCTGATCAGCCTGCCCGCTGATCATAAAAAATCCATCTATGACCAGCTTTAGGCTGCATTCACACTTGAGTGGTTTGTAGCTAGAAACTCCAAAAAAAGCTGAAATTTAAAAAAAAATCAATTGATCTCTATGGTGCCTGTTCATACTTGATGGCGTGAAAAGGCACCATAGAGAACCATTGATTTAGGTTTGAGTGTTTTTGGAGCTTCAAGCTACAAAACGCTCAAGTGTGAATGCAGTCTTAGTCTAAACAGCTGAACTAATTTTCTGATCTGTATTAATCATTTGAAAGGCAGGAGCTGCTTGTTTGCGATGGGCTTCCCAGACTTTTTAGTTTTGAACAGTTTGATGCAGAGGCTTACGATGCACACGGGGCATTTTTGCAGCCACTTTTAGGGATGTCGGGTGTGTTTTTTTTTTTTTTTTGTTTTTTTTTTTTTTTTCTTTTTCCAAACGGCTGTCCTTGTTATCCTATGTGTCCATGCATACATATACTTTTAGAAGCTTTTAGTAGTAGTAGCGTTTAACAGCAGGGGAAAAAAAAAAACAGGGCAAAGTGCGTCCAGGAAACGCAGAAAAAATGCTTGACGCATGTAAACCCGCCTAAGCCTGCATTAATCACTTGCCGTCCGGCTGCTGTATATAAACGGCCAGACGGTGGCAGTCCAGGGGCGGGTTGCCGTTTATAAACGGCGCCTGCCATTATGGACTGTGCGTTCTCCCTGGGAGCGCACAGCACCACGATCGGGTGCTCTCTGTCCTCCGGACACAGTGGAACACCGATCGTCATACGGGACCTCTGTGCAAGAACCCGATCTTGTGATCACTGATTGGCCAATCAGTGATCACATGCAGAGTAGTAAGCAAGATGTCACTTCTGACATCATTGCTCACTTTGTGTGAAATCTGTGAATGATCACAGAGGTCACATGGTACAAGGCTATTCACAACCGCCTTGTACCATATGACAAGCTCTGACCAATCACAGCTCACACAGTAGTTCTCAGTGGCTACAAGAATGCAGCTAGGGAGAAAGAGAAATTATTGCTTTTACATCCTTTATGGGTGTAAATGCAATCAGTGTAAAAAAAAAGAAAAAGTCTTTATTACCCCCCACAAGTAGTACAGTGTCACCATGGTGACACTGTACTGCTAGGGTGACCGTATGTAGATAAAAAAAATAAATAAAAATTATAATTTTTGGTTATAAACTAATTTGGGTTATTTTTTTTTTATTTATTTATTTGTTTTTTTTACTAAAAAGATAACTGAATAAATTTTGGCCAAGATTTATAATGAAATATTATTTATTTGCAAAATTTTAGAAGAAAAACACATTTTTTTCAAAATTTTTGGACTTTTTCATTTATATAGCAAAACAAATAAAAATCCCAGTGGTGAATAAATACCACCAAAATAAAGCCTTATCTGTCTCAAAAAAATGCTAAAAAATTCATATGGGTACAGTGTTGCATGACCGCGCAATTGTCATTCAAAGTGTGATAGCGCTGAAAGCTGAAAATTGGCCTGGGCAGGAAGGGGGTATAAGTGTCCGGACTGGAAGTGGTTAATGCTAGGCGCATTAAGCTCTTGAGCAGTAATTGATATTAATGGCCAGAATAAATTATTATTCTGGCCAATGAAATTAAAGTGCAAAACTATTGACACCTGTAAATACTCCTAAAAGCTTGCAAAAGTGTTAGACATTTTGCCAGGTGTCAGGCATTTTTTTCTGCCAAAACACTGCTGCCAAGAGAAGGAGCATTTTTAAAACGTTCTGTGTGCACCAGGCCTACTTGTGCTGGCCACACACTCAGTGTTCTCCTTCTTTCAGCCAGTACAAAGCAAATGTGTTTCAAAATCAATGGAAAGTGCCTTTTGTAAGTGGTCTAGAAGTAGTATTGATTGATTTCCATTACACTTTTTGATCATGTAGTTGCTAGAAACAGTTGAAGCTGAAAGAAAATCATACACTTAGTGTATGTCCACCAGACATCAGAGATCCAACTGTTAGTGTTACTAAACCCACAACAGTAAAATCAGTCTGTATATGCAGTAAAGCATGCTTGTTATACTCACTGTGGAACCTAAGGGGTTAATCCTTTGCATTGTGTAAAAACACTGTCTTTCTCCTGATAAGACATATCATGTGGACTCACTCTGCACATGCTCAGTTTGTGTATTGCTAGACAGGTTTTTCTTTTTGTTTGGAGAGTGCAAGTGATCAGCACAGGGCCAATCGGCTTTCTCCAGGCAGGTTAGGGATTCTGCATCCTCCTAGAGCAGAATGAAAACTGCTCCTACAAGCTTTAACCAGTGCTCGGCTGGACACTGATAGAAGTCACGCAACTGCTCTAACTGCTGATGAGAACAGGTATTTAGCAGTTTATATTTACTAAATTAATTGTATTTCCATGAGTGTGTACTGTGGGAGACCAGATATGGTGAATGCAGGGTCCTGGGTTTAGTAACACTTTAATAGTTGGACCAGGGAATGCCTGAGTTTTCTAAGGTATAGCCAGGTTTGAGTGTTCCTAGTCACTTTTTAGCTACTGAATGAGGCCGTCTCCAGGGAAATCTGTAAGGTTCACCTACTCTCCTGTACACATATATTCGATGTGGCCCTAGG